ACGAGAAGACAAGGACAAACAGACAGAAATAGGCAGACACGACGGAGGAATGATGCCGACCTCTGCACCGGGGTCGACGAGGACAGCGGAGCGGGTCCTGTCGAGCAAGTGGAGTAGGCGAACAGCATCAGATGATTAGCCAGCAGCAGCAGCAGTGGTCGCACCTACTGTCTGGCTTGGCTGTTTCTCTGGAAGGTGCAAGGTGAGGAACACTTCTTTGCATCCTTACCGAACGTTCGATGGTGCCAGCAGTGCTCGTGTCGCGAACGGCTGCGTGAGCGAGATGGGGAGCGAGTGCCCGAGCAGGAACGGTCCTGACGTAGAGGCGTCCCCTGGAGGGCTGGCAGTGAGTGTCCCGGGAGGAGGGAACTTCTACCGCCGCTACCGACTGTTCCGTCCGGTCTGCCAAGCGAGTTATGGCGCCAGACTGATCCGCTGTTGCCTTGTGCCATGGCAGACTCTGCCACACGGTCAACAAGCTGCGCTAATTCCTTGATTGCCATGTGGCCAAGATGAGTCGCACTTGGGATGGGAGGCTGGAGAGGAATAGTTCCCTGAGTGGAGCGGGGTCCAATTCTTTACCGTTGAGAAGAGTTTGCATTCTGCGTAGCAGATGGGTGGACGGTGGGCCCGTCACCCAGTTCCTCCTGACTGGGAAGAGCACGGACCCGAGCGTGCTCAGATTTCTGGGTGCATTTCGTGAGGGCGGTCTTTATCCTGTCATGCTAATGCTCGTCAGGAGGTTGAACCAACTGGTCTCTCATCTCAGCTGCGTATTCTGGTGCTAGTGAGGAGACTATGATGGGGAACTTAGTCTTCTGGGACGTTATGTGTCACGTTGCGAAGTACGCCTCTGCTTGAGCGAACCACACCTGAGGATCCCTGAGCCAATACGATGGAAGTTTATAATGCACCGGAGATAGGCTGAGCTGGAGCAGATGGGGCTGTGGCAGGATTGCCACCTGAAGCAGAGGATGGGGCGTCTGCGGATACTTGGTCCATGCCGCCAGACACGACTGTTGCGTGTTGAGGGTCGCGTCGAGCTGGATCAGGTCGGCGTCACCAGCCCACGTTACCACAATCACTTACACAGAACGGCACACTACACTTACAGCACAGTCTACCTTCATTGACTTGGTGACTTGGTGTTGGACCAACCACAGTCAGCTCCCCAGAATATAATTTACACTATCCTTCTCAGTCACGGTGGTGTCCTCCGCCATGTCTCTAAGACATGTAAAATTCCTGGATTTCAGCTGAAATCCCAGAATACACAGTGACGTAAATTTAGCCATCAAAGCATTTTGTCCTGGCCATAAATGCTGTCCACCGTCATTCAGTGATGTACTCCACCTGAAGGCCGTCACAAGAAAACATTCTAAGAAAGTAAACGAACCCATTCCAGTGATGACGTGTGTATATACTAGTACATGACATGATGTGCCCATGTGTCATGCTGCTGTCAAACTATGAACACTATGTACCCATGTGTCATGCTGCGGTAAAACTATGAACACTATGTACCCATGTAACTGTTACATGATGAGTGTGCACATTGTATCGTTCATGACGGCGATTCTTAGATTATGGTCTCCTCATCGACTTTCACCTATGGCTAACTTACATTGTTGTTTTTTTCATGCGACATTCTGTTGCGTTTTCCGCATTGCTTGCAGCTGTGTGCTGAAGATCGGTGAGCACACTCCGTCGCCACTGTCCATCCTGGAGAACGCCAACGTGCTGGCTCGCTACGCCAGCACATGCCAGCAAAACGGCCTTGTGCCGATTGTGGAGCCGGAGGTGCTGCCGGACGGTACCCACGACCTGGCGCGCTGCCAAGCAGTTAGCGAGAAGGTACGCGAGCAATTCATTGACCGTGGACCATTGACCATGACTCGCTTTGCCAGTATGCTGTTGGTGTTAGCACAGTGACGCTGCTGCCAGTATTATACTATGTACTTGAAGTACATGCATTATGCACGGTACTGGGTGAAATCCTGGCCTGTTCGTTCTTCCGTGCCCGCCAGTACTGTAGACTTAACGTTACGTTATACCCATGGGGGGGGGGGGAGACATAGCTCCAAGGTAGACCTACATGACATGACATGCCATGGTTATACTGGAACTGACCAGGTCCATCTCGTCCCCGGAATCAGTGGAATTTCTATGTGATCTACAGTACCGTAAAGTCGCGGATAAAAGCCGGGCTTATAAGCGTAATGTTATAAGCCGCTTTCTGCATCAGGCTTTAATGCAAACCAGGCTTGTATGCAAACCATGCTTATATGCACCGCTGATATGCGCGAAACGCGTACATCTATCACTGACTACCGGTATGGCGGCAGTTGTATTATGCACCGTACATAGCGCATGCACTCTTGACCTACCTGATCCGCGCTTGCATAGAAGCCAGGCTTCTACGTGCGACAGGCTTATAAGCATTTGACCCGTTTGATTTTCAGGCTTCTATCCGCGATGTGCTTGTACTGTATGCAAACCTGGCTTTTATCCGCGATGTGCTTGTACTGTATGCAAACCTGGCTTTTATCCGCAACTTTACAGTATGTACTGCTATTGTACTGCATTGCAGGTGCTGGCAGCGGTGTACAAGGCACTGAGCGACCATAACGTGTACCTTGAGGGAACACTGCTCAAACCCAACATGGTCACACCCGGTATGGACTGTCCGAAACGATCAGTAAGTCACATGAATGCCACTATGCCAGCATTCATGCTCATGGCCGGTATGTGCACGACGTAATGGGAAGTTTGTATTATCCACGCCCTTCAACTGCCGAGTGATAATGATTGAGCTTGTGCCGTAAACTCTACTTCTTCAAAGTACTCTTCAGGCAAGTTATTATTTTAGTACTTGAAGTACGAGTAATGTACTTCGAAATAAACCTTCCCTAATTTTGTTGTGCAGCGTTTTATTTTTTAATGTGATGTAAACCTGCATAATACCGGTATTATGTAGTCATGTAACTTGTTACTGCCATACTTTGAGTCAGTTCACAGCCATTCCCATGCCCGTGCTTGACAATTGTAAACTGAACATGGCGCAGAAGTTTCCCGTTTATACTCTATGGTGTATCCATCAAATTCCTTTGCTTTCTTTTCTGTGTGTATAGCAATACGTGCACGTCTGTGACTACTGTGTCTGGTATGTCTCTGTACGTATGTGTGTGTGTGTGTGTGTGTGTGTGTGTGTGTGCGTGCGTGTGTGTGTGCACATATGTGTGTGTGTGTGTGTGTGTGTGTGTCTGTGTGTGTGTCTGTGTGTGTGTCTGTGTGCGTGAACGCGTGTGCATGTGTTTGTAGGACTACACTCCTGAGGATATAGCGCGTGCCACAGTGACCGCGCTGCAACGCACCATGCCAGCAGCCGTTCCCGGCGTCACCTTCCTCTCTGGTGGACAATCGGAGGAGGAGGCATCGCGCAATCTCAACGCCATTAACCAATACCAAGGTCGGTATGTGTGTCACACAGCTGTTGATACATGACTGTACATGTACATGCAGTTGTAGAAAGGTGATGCCATACAGCAAGAGTCCATAACCCCAAGAGTGTGCAACTGCATAACCCCAAGAGTGTGCAACTGCATAACCCCAAGAGTGCGCAACTGGGGTCTGGCTGCTGTAGGCCCACTGCGCGACGGAATTCCAACATTACGTCATGCCGCTGAGGCATAGAGGCCAAAACTCCGCACTCTGCAGTGCTTGGAACCAGGGAGTAGTACAAGCGCAACGAACGTGTACATCATTTTTGACGTAATGTTGGAATTCCGCCGCGCGGATCCCCATGTACAGAGTTGCACACTCTTGGGGTTATGGACTCTTGCATACATTCATCTCAAATTTGTGCAGTTCGAAATGGATGTGGAGGCTTTTCTGAGATTGGGATGATACTGTTGACTTGTATGTGTATGGCATTTGAGCAATTGCAGTCAAAATTAGTGCATGCAATGAATGGTGTTGAATTGTTAGTCTGAGTTGCTCGTGGCTCAGAAAGCGAATTTTGCATGAAAGGTGGCAGATTTCTCAGTGTTTGCATGCCATTCAGGGTCAGGCATCTGGTGTTATAGCACTCTGCACTGTCATGCTCTACTGTCGTAATGGGTGAGGTATCTGGATGTGCTGTTATCCTAGCCCTGTGCGCTATCATGCTGTACCATCTGCGTGTGCACAGGAAAGAAGCCCTGGAAGCTAACATTCAGCTATGGCCGTGCCTTGCAGGCCAGCACCCTGGCTGCCTGGAAGGGACAGGACGCGCTGGTGGATGCCGGCCAGGAAGCCTTCCTGAAGCGTGCCTCCATCAACGGCAAGGCGGCCGCGGGCCAGTACATCACGGACAGCGCCTCGGCACAGGGCGCTGCTCAGACCAGCCTGCATGTAGCCAACCACATGTACTAACAAGGGTGGCGCTGAAGGACGATTTCAACGGACGACGATGTAAGATGGGCAGAACACACCCTGCCGGCTCAGTAGTACATGTAGTGATTTCATACCGCACTCTTGCCCTGGTAGCACTGGTAGCACCTGCCACTGGTCGTGCCTGCAGGCATTTGCATTGCCCCAATTCCGTGCTGACTTCTGAGCTACATTTTTTTGCCCAGTGTGCTTCCCAACAATTTCTGTGTTAGTACGCTTAGCCTTGTCCCTCCGGTACGGGTTGGAACCTGGTGGCCACTACCCTGCTTATGACACCATGCCTTCTCGCCATGCTGGTCTCTCTTGTCCTCTGTCACATGTCCTGAACACCTGATAGATATGATTTGTAGCTGGCATTACTCAATCTTTTTCTTTCCTACCGGCATTTGAAAACAGAAGTGATTTTGCTTTGACAAGGTTTGCCATATAATTCCACGGTTTAGAAGACTTGCGAGAGTGCGTTCCGCTTGTATAAAGCCAGTACCGTTCTGATGGAACTAGACTGCACGAGTGCCACCACCAGCTGAGCTAGTACCTTGCACAAGAACGCTGGGTCAACCCACAGAAGGTAGAGGCCTTGGGCAAATGATTAACACAAATAAATCCAACGCCCAGAGTTCACTGCAGCTTCAGAGCTAAACGCCGGCGCATAAGCTATCAGTACCGCTTCACAACTGGGTGTTTATTATTTAAAAAAATAAGATGATAACACAATGGAAGTACTTGTAAGAAGGGAGAACAGCCAGCCACCACCTGGGCTACTGCGTAACTTACTACAATATAACTAGAGATAACAACACCGAAGTGCGCAGAAGGGCATAAGCTAGAGAGGGAGATGAGATGATCTAAACCAGTAGTTGTACATGTACTCGGAGGGACATGACAAGAACAACATTAGCCTAGACAGCCTAGACGAAAGCACTATGAGGTGCCGTGAACAAGGATCTGGCTGGTTACGTGTACTGTATGATGACGATCAGCATTTAGCTCTTCTTCGGCAGAGAGTAGGGGTGACGGCGCTCACTGGCGAGGTAGGCAGCAACCTGTGGACGCTGACTGAAGCGTTGGTAGAAGGCGCTCAGGCGAGGGAACTCGGCCATGAAGTTGTCGGCCGGTGATTTGTCACCTTCCATGGCGACCTCTGCGAATGCCTTGTGCGCATCAAGGAAGTTGAAGATGGCAAAGTCCACCCAAGTGATACGGCCACCACTTGTGAAGTAGCCACGGTTGGCAGCCGGCTCACCGGCCGGGGCGTGTTGCTCGTAGTATGCAATCCATGTGCGTGCCTCCTTCAGGTACGTACGGCGCTTCTCTGCATCCAGGTCAGCTGCCCAGACGACGCGGCCCATCTTGGTTGTCTGATCCTCTGCAAGGCATGAATGCAGGACAACAGACCTCTCTCAGGCACGTGGCATGATCATGCTGGGACTTTCCCTAGCTGAGAGATCAGTGAGTGATAGACACGTATATGTACAATGTCATACAATGTCATGTAGCAGTACTCCATGTGTGCCAAGTAAGATCAGCACCCTTGCACACGTTCAGACGATTTCGATGGCATGCATGCGTCCGGTGGAGCTCGTCGTTACAGATACTAATATCACAAGCTAGACCTGTCAGCTATCACAACACATAACACCACAGTGCGCACCCACTAACTGTACCGTATTTCCCCGAATATAAGTCACACCTTTCTACACAAAAATTCAAGGGTAAAAATGGGGTGCGACTTACAATCGAGCGTGACTTACTAATGAAGTCAATATATCAAATCAATTTTGCTCAAACCTGAAAATGGGGGTGCGACTTATAATCGAGTGTGACTTATAATTGGGGAAATACGGTATATAATGACAGAACGCAGTTAATGGCAATACCAACAGAGCCTGCAACTGCCCTATGGCATTACTGACACAAGGCTTGTCGTATGGCACAGCGACAATCAGCTTTGGACACCCTTTGATTTCGGGATAGCATTTGGGGAATCCCTCAAATATATAATAAATTATTAACAATACACGTAATAAGGATCCAGAACTGCCATGCTGGCTATGTAGCTCCACAGGAGGTTGCACCATCACATGGCGTGTGAAGGCAAGCTACAAGTAGGTCGATTTACATGTTGTTGTTTTTTTAAAGGGGCACTCCGGGAATATTTTCGGTGGTGTGTTCTCTTCATGGGTGCCTTGTATGGCCCCCAAGGAATGGGGAATCGCGAAAACTAGACCCAAAAAGTCGATATATGAAGCCAGGGAGGGCCAAGTTTGTCTCCTCTTTTGATGGTTTTGATGACGTCACGTGTGATTAGTATTCAAATTCTCTGCATTTGAAGATCTTAGTTGTTTGAATTTTCTGGTGATGAAGAACGATGTTTGGTCGACATTCCCAAGCTTCACAACTGCGGACCTACTCTAAGGAACCTGAAGGACCCTCTGAGGTGCCCCTGGTAGAAGCGCAGCCTGATGAGGGCCAGGAGATTGGAGCGGACGACTTCACTGGTCCGCGTACGAGGATCCCGAAATTCTCTATATGTCGTGAGGCATATGGTCAGAACAGTTTTTTTAGACAAGCTGACACGAAGTCGGGGTGATGTGTAACGCACGTCAAAGGGCTGTCAATGCTAACAGCTGCAGCGCTCTCTCGACAGCGAAGGTAATCGACTGCCCTCTGCATCACCCCACATTTCTGGCAGGAACACCAATCGTTATTTCCTTGTCGACCAGTGAAGTCGTCCGCTCCAATTTCCTGGCCGTCATCAGGCTGCGCTTCTACCAGTGGCACCTCAGGAGGTCCTTCAGGTTCCTTAGAGTATGGTCGCAGTTGTGAAGCTTGGGAATGTTGACCAAACATCGTTCTTCATCACCAGAAAATTCAAACAACTAAGATCTTCAAATGCAGAGAATTTGAATACTAATCACACGTGACGTCATCAAAACCATCAAAAGAGGAGACAAACTTGGCCCTCCCTAGCTTCATATATCGACTTTTTGGGCCTAGTTTTCGCGATTCCCCATTCCTCGGGGGCCATATAAGGCCCCCATGAAGAGAACACACCACCGAAAATATTCCCGGAGTGCCCCTTTAAATAAGGCCAGTCACAGCCAAACAGGTTGCACACTAAATCAGTCGCCTAGATCCACCATTGCAGTGGTACTGCATTGTGTGTAGATAACCGGCTGTGCATGCTGATTACGTGATCACGCAGGCTTGCAAAATCAAAAAGAACAGAAGGCATACAGATAGCTAGCAGTACAGATGGTAGACTACACTGGTACACTAGGCAGTGCAGACTGCATGAAGCAGTGTCAAAACAAAACAAAGCAAACGGAAAGGAAAGACTTGAACTGTGGACTTACCAACACCAAGCGCCAGCACATCGCACCAGGAGTAGTCGTCGCAGTCGCAGTCATAGCCCGACGCACGGCTGAGGTGCCTCAGAATGGCTGCGCGCACAGGGGACAACAATGGAGTACACACAACGTCACAAGTCGTCTACTGTTGGACAAGCAGAGCTTGGGAATGAAGCAGCATTTCTTAGGTATTTTCAACGTAATTGCTGACTTACTTACACTAGTTTCAGGCACATTTTGACCCAGAAAAGGATCAGATCTCGACGAGGCAGGAGTGGTGTGTTCATGTTCATATGTGCATGGTTGGCAAAAACACTGCATTTCTCAGGAGAGAGACACTGGGAAGGGCAGTCTTCCCGACGACGACAATAGCAGCGTGTTGTTGGGGTGGCAGGGTGTCAGTTGATATGATAATATACGCTGACCGAGTTGCACACTCTCCGGCACTCAGTTTAAAATTGCCGTGCGAAAGCCACAGTTACTACCAGCTAGTAGAACTTACTGCACATATAAACCATACCAGATATGAGAAAGTGCTAGAAGAGATGTTCTACTATTTGCCGGTGTATGCTAGTTCTGTCTAATTGCTCAGGGTGCAATCAGCGCTTGCAAATCGGCTAACTTCAAGACGAATATCCTCAGGCATGCTCTTTTGACAAAGTTCCAGCCAGCGTCATTCTTATTAGTTTTGTCCAGCATACCCGTTCTTCCCTCGTGCCAGGCCAATCACTTTGTGGTGGGTGTGATCTACTCACCTCCCACCTCTTTAGGAGCTGCATCTGTACCTTGATCCATAGAGGGTGGTGGCGTTACTACGGATGCGGAAAACTCGGCGTGCAGCAGAGTCTCACACGAACTGTGAATTATTTAAAAACGGCCGGTCTTTGGCGCTAAGCGCTCACAGAATGCATACTGCATACTGTAGTCATGGTGTATGCAAGTGAGCCAAGCACACCAAGCAAGCGAGCCAAGCACACCAAGCACACCAAGCAAGTGAGCCAAGCACACCAAGCAAGCGAGCCAAGCACACCAAGCAAGTGAGCCAAGCACACCAAGCAAGTGAGCCAAGCACACCAAGCAAGTGAGCCAAGCACACCAAGCAAGCGAGCCAAGCACACCAAGCAAGTGAGCCAAGCACACCAAGCAAGCGAGCCAAGCACACCAAGCAAGTGAGCCAAGCACACCAAGCAAGTGAGCCAAGCACACCAAGCAAGTGAGCCAAGCACACCAAGCAAGTGAGCCAAGCACACCAAGCAAGCGAGCCAAGCACACCAAGCAAGTGAGCCAAGCACACCATGCAAGTGAGCCAAGCACACCAAGCAAGCGAGCCAAGCACACCAAGCAAGTGAGCCAAGCACACCAAGCAAGTGAGCCAAGCACACCAAGCACACCAAGCAAGTGAGCCAAGCACACCAAGCAAGTGAGCCAAGCACACCAAGCAAGTGAGCCAAGCACACCAAGCAAGTGAGCCAAGCACACCAAGCAAGCGAGCCAAGCACACCAAGCAAGTGAGCCAAGCACACCAAGCAAGCGAGCCAAGCACACCAAGCAAGTGAGCCAAGCACACCAAGCAAGTGAGCCAAGCACACCAAGCAAGTGAGCCAAGCACACCAAGCACACCAAGCAAGTGAGCCAAGCACACCAAGCACACCAAGCAAGTGAGCCAAGCACACCAAGCAAGTGAGCCAAGCACACCAAGCACACCAAGCACACCAAGCAAGTGAGCCAAGCACACCAAGCAAGTGAGCCAAGCACACCAAGCTCAAGATCTCCACACATACTTACCAGTCGATTGGGCAAGGCGAAGACCAGACGTAGTTTCAATAGCGGGCACTAAAGAAAAACAGAACCAGTGAAAGTAATGATCAATTGGCCAGAACAATCTAACTAAAAAAAGATAGCAACATTTGGTCTGTCTCTGATAATGACCCAAACAACCTGACCGGATCCGTGGGACTTGAAGAAGTTGCCACCACGGTATACTTCCATTGTCCGTGTTCATTTGATTTTGCCTGCATTTGACCTGACGATAAGGCTTGAAAGTATACTAGTGAAAACTTTCAAGATATTGTTGAAGAGCCTGATGTGTGTCCTTCTTCTTAGTACAATCTGAGTATTAGTCCGTAAACAGGGAAACTGTTGCGGTCTCGAATCGTTCGCAATTTTCGTGATGAGCATGACATCGCAAAAGTACTGTTCTCGCAGAACTCCATCCACACCGAGTGCAGGAACTGCTGGCATACCAAGGCACCATCATAACTGCGAACAAGCAGTTCTACCCAGAGGCATGGCTAACATACGACCGGCAGTTCCGGATGTCGGCGGCACTGACTCCTGGCAGGTCATGGGAATAAATCGACGCCAACCTCTGGCAGCTGTGTTTCACGGGCAAGGCCCGTGCAGTATGCTCGAGTTGTAATCTGACACACCCATCGTCAGGTGGGCCTAACAATTGCCCTTTTCGTCCCCGACGTGCCCCACTCACAGGATCAACCTCCTCAACTGAAGTCTGCCGTAACTTCAACTTTGGCCGCTGCCAGAACGCCTCATGCATCCGCCGACATGTGTGCCTCAAGTGTGGCTGCTTATCACACCCTCGCACTAAGTGTCGTAGCCAACAGTCGCCCAGGTCCACTACAGGGCGAGAGGCCTCCACATAGAGGCCTGTCACGTCACATGCCGGGCCCAAAGCCCACCACACCTGTACATATTCCCCATTTCTCGACACTACTTCGCATGCATCCTGACCGCGACCTGGTAAACCATTCATTGCATGGTCTTCAGCATGGTTTCAAGTTTCAACATTGGCTTCACTGGCCCTCGCAATGTATCTATAAGCTCTCCTAATCTCTCATCTTCCTATACACATGCTGCATTTGTTGCCGAATATCTGGCCGGTGCATGCTCCCGTGGTGAAACAGCAGACCTATTTGACCACCCGCCATTTGAATACATGCGCTGCTCTGGTGTGGGTGCGGTTCCAAAGAAGAACGGCAAACTGCGCCTTATTCACCACCTGTCCAGTCCTGTTGGCAATAGCGTCAACGACCATATCTCGCGGGAGGCATTTTCCCTACATCAGTACATTATGTGACAATTGATAGTGCCATCAACTTGATTATGCAATGTGATGATCCATTCTTGTCCAAGCTAGATGTTCGCAGTGCCTTCCGTATCATACCTGTTCGCCCTGAAGATTGGCCTCTGCTTGGCATCCTCTGGGATGGGCGCTACTATTATGATCGAGTCCTACCATTTGGGCTTCGTTCTAGCCCGGCACTGTTCGACAGCGTCTCATCAGCCGTGGAATGGATCATGCAGCACGAATTCTCCATTCATGATCTTATCCACTACCTGGACGATTTCCTCTGTGTGTCCAACCATGAAGCCGTTGCCCGCCGTCAGCTGGCTATTCTGCTTAGGGCGTTCACCTACCTCGGTATACCCCTTGCTCCTCAGAAAGTCCACGGACCCGCACGCACTCTGGACTTTCTCGGAGTTAGCCTGGATTGCGTTCGCAAGGAGGTCCGGCTTCCGGCGGATAAGATCACAGACCTCCAATTTCGACTAAGCAGTGCCCTCCAACACAGCCACATCACTCAGCACGACCTCGAGTCCCTTCTGGGCAAGCTAGCGTTTGCTTCTCGGGTCGTAGTGCCCGGCAGGACTTTCGCACGACCTCGAGTCCCTTCTGGGCAAGCTAGCGTTTGCTTCTCGGGTCGTAGTGCCCGGCAGGACTTTCACCAGGCGCCTCTGGAATATCTGCAAGAAATTCCAGAAACTGCACTACAGCATCAAGCTTTCGGCAGATGCCCGTGAAGACCTCATTTGGTGGCAACATCTCCTGGAGGAATGGAACGGGAAGTCGTTCTTCCTGAACCCTGGCTGGATACCATCCCCCGACATTGAACTGTTCACCGACGCTAGCGGATCAGTCGGCTGGGGTGCATACTACGGAGGTCGATGGATTCAAGGAATGTGGCAGCTGGATGAAGCTGACCAGGATATCATGTGGAAAGAACTCTATGCGGGTCCTGGTGTCCTGCCTGACATGGGGCAATGGCTGGGCAAAACTCAGAATCCTCCTGCATTGTGACAACGAAAGCTTAGTGTCTGCCATCAATGACGGGACCTGCCGAGCACCTCGGGTCATGACATTGATACGAGAATTGTTCTTTGTGTGTGCTCGTTGCAACTTCATGCTGTCTGCCCAACATATCGCTGGCTCTCATAACACCGTGGCTGATTGTCTTTCTCGTTACCAGATGCAGCGTTTACGGCTGGCCGACCCACAAGCGTGCACTCACCCGGACACAGCTCTGTTGCCGACCTTGTGACGTTTTACGCAGGACACGCTATAGCATCGAACACCCGCCGAACTTACCGGACAGGCGCACGCCGGTATTTGGATTATTGCAAGCAGTATGGTTTCAGCGCGCTCCCAGCAACGGACAGCATACTAAGCGGCTTTGCTGCGCATCTGACCCTAACAGTGCGTCCAGGGACTATTCGTGTGTACATCATGGCCGTACGAAACATGCACGTGGAAAGCGGGTTGCCAGACCCATGCGAAGATATTGTCCTACTCCCTAGAGTCATGAGAGGTATTGATAGGTGCCAACAAGAGTACATAACCCCCCAGAGTGTGCAACGCCTGATCCAGCTCTGCATAGGGTGTCATGCAGGTTCTCACACGCAACGGGAAAACTTCGTGGTAGTAAAATAGATATTTCGCAAACAACAAAAAGACAACTCTTTCTCTTCCTTTCGAAGAACCGAACTTGCCGAGCCTCATCGAAAAACAAACTCTGAAAAAGCCCTACACTAGTACGGGATTCAGCGCAGAGCAAAAAATAATTATGAGTCATTATACAATGCATGCAGTGTAGCCGTGAAAACTGGTGAATAAAGAATGCAGTAGGTTGGCAGCACGTGACCCGTCGTACCGCAGTACGCGACGGCGTCGCGGCTTAGAAATGAAAGGAAACACTGCGAGAAAAGACAAAACGAAAATACATGTCCCTTTGTCAAAACTTAGAAGAAACAAACAAAATGCGACCAAGAATCATTTTGAGAGTCAACGTCAATACCCTTGTGCAGTTGTGCAAATTCTTGTCTTGCACTGTGCAACGCAAGAAACAAACAACCTACGAAATAACTCGTGAACTAACTGTAGGCTAAATCACTACATGTACGCGAAATTGCGTTCCAAAATAAACTGAATTTCTGAGACATTTCATATTTCACATCCTGAGGGAAATATTGAATAAATAGTAAATACATCATAAAAAAACACATGGCCACGACGACCTTCCTAACATAGGGTCTTGGTCGAGCGGAATCGGATCTTTGCGTCATAATACCGTACACATCTGAGGGGAACCCGGGGAGTCGCGGGTACTCTCGGATCAAAAACAATGGTGCCCTGCCTCGAGACCGGCCTTGCGCTGGTGTGAAGTGTACGCATGACATCAGAAGATCCGATTCCGCTCGACCAAGACCCTACACAGAGCTGGATCGGCGTTGCACACTCTGGGGGGTTATGTACCCTTGGTGCCAAGGAACAACCACCACCAGCCGGTTGCCCATAACTATGCCTATATTGCGGCAGCTCACCGACGCCTGTGCAGCATCGTCTCACTATAACGAGTGGGACAAAGCCCTGTACTGCAGCGCAATGCTACTGGCGTTCTATGGATTCCTGCAGTGAGTACCTGAAGGCGGAGCGACGACACGTCAGCTTCTCGGAGGGTGCTATGCAACTGTTCTTGCCAACCTCTAAGACTGACCCAACGTCTAAAGGAGTAACAGTTGTCGTAGGACCAGCAAAACCCCCTCACTGCGCTATGAACGTGATTGTCGTTAGCTGGCGCTCTCGACATCGACCAACAAGCCACATTCTCCTCTGTATGTCCTGTCGTGTGGTAAACCCCTGGATCGGCAAACGGTGAATGCAACCGTCCGACAACTAACGGTGCAGCTCAAATTACCCCACACACAGGAGTACTCCAGTCACTCCTTCCGGATTGGTGCGGCAACAAGTGCTGCTTCTGCAAGTGTTCCAGACCACCTCATCCGTTGCATGGGCAGATGGAAGAGTGACTCCTACCTACGGTACATCAGAACACCATTGACACCCCGTGTGCAGTTGGCAGCCAGACCCTGTTCCATGCCATGATGGAATAGGCACGTGAGTTACTGATGACCTGTCACTTGATTGACTCTCTGTTGAAATCCTGAACTGGCTGCCTACAGTCTGAGATTAGCTGTACTTTGCACAATGTACAGTACACACAAATGCTGCTAGAATAATGATCACCTAAATCTTTGTCCTGCCTCTAGCTCGCATGGTGTGATATGGGTGCTGGCTGTTTGGACGCAACTCTTAGCGGCAATGGTTTAACTCGTTCAATCACTCCGTGCTCTATGTTGAGCCAACACACGCGCTCGATGTTGAGCCACCATACGCGCTCTATGTTGAGCCACTCACTCTCTCGCGCTCTATGTTGAGCCACTCACTCTCTCGCGCTCTATGTTGAGCCACTCACTCTCTCGTGCTCTATGTTGAGCCACTTTCTCTCTCTCTCTCGTGCTCTATGTTGAGCCACATTGCCTCACTCGCAGCCAGCATCCGCTCACTCCAAACTCCGTGCCCTGTGTGTTGGTGTACTTCATAGCGGTGTAGCATCTGCATGTGCATGTGGGATGTGGGCTAAGTGTGAAATCGCAAAAGTAAGTCAGCAAGAAACGTAGAACTACAGTGAATAAAACCTAACAAAATGGACTCTAATGGCAAACATTTCCAGGTGCAAACTGGTCTGTGCACGCAAATTGCTACTAAAACCGGCGCAAACATTCCCAGTTTACTGTATCTGATTCATTGCAGAGTAGAATTAACCAACAATGATTCATATGACTACGAAGGGAATCAACTGTGCATGAATTACTGTGCACACGAAACAGAGCGAAACAATTCGGCAGTTATGCACTCCGACACACATGATGCACGAAGCACATAAAAAGACAACCTTATCTCCAAGCACATAAAAAGACAACCTTATCTCCAAGCACATAAAAGACAACCATATCTCCAGTACATCTCCGCTTTTTCGAAAGTCTTTTAAATTAGAATGCACTTCATAAGCGTTCAGACTGACATGAACATAAAGCGGTAAATAACAGGCTGAAAGCATGAATGCCACTCGCACTGCCCAGGTTACGCACCATGGAGTAGATACCGTGTAGAGTGTCGCGAGACTTCCCCACCATCACTTCGCTTTCGCGATCGTGTTTGGGAGGCAGGGTTCTGTCTGTGGGTCATCCGGCATGCACCTTGTACACACATTACACGTTGCACGGTCAATCTGCAGTGAGTTTACGTCCGAGCGGATGTGAGCTCCACACAACAACATGCTAAGTGTGACCTCAGTGCACCAGGCACGCCTAGACGTCGTGGCTAATGGCATTTGGGGAGGACGGTTCGAAAGCACCTACATTGATGTGCGGGTGTTCAACCCCCATGCGTCTTCGAACCGCTCCAACTCACTTGCTGCTACTTATGTTCGTCATGAGAAGGCTAAGTGCCGTGCTTACGAGCAGCGCCTGGGGGAGGTGGAGCACTCCAGCTTTGTCCCAGCCATCTTCTCTACCACCGGAGGCATGGGAAAGCATGGTGCCTCGCTATACAAACGTATCGCCTCTCTCCTCACCGCCAAGACTGGGGAGCCATACAGCATCACCCTATCCTCCATCCGCTGCCAGATTGGTTTTGCACAGCGCTGATGTGCCTGCGTGGTGCACGCAAGGCTTTCTTACCAGCAATGGCTTCAGACTCGGCAGTGCTAGTTGTTGCTGAAGCAAGAATCTCAGCTTCAGACTTACTCACAAGTCACCTGGTCACCGTGCCTGCAGGCTACAACTTTCACACCTAACCAAGGTTCAACTCGAGTGACAGGAACGCGCCCAAACAGGCTGTAAGTTGTACCCTGCAGGGGCACGGTGACCAGGTGACTTGTGCACACATGAGCACGTGACCGCTTATTCAACTATGTTCGACTGGGACACGGGCCGAACGCTACATCGCAGCCTTTTCGAACCAAAACCAGTCCACTCAGCGTCCAAGAGAAGACTACAACATATGGGCCAATCGCGGTCATCCGTGCTTTTATAAGAACCAAATGGCGCTTTTAGTGACATTTTACATACAAACCCCCATCTACTGTAAGACATGTATATATAACGAGGAAGCAAATCTAACGTTTTAACGGATGACATTTCTTCGTTATAATAAGATCCGTTGCGGCCGTACTGCTTCATATATGCTGTGTGTGGATATGGCAGAATACTGCAAGATCGTTAACATATCTTCTCGTTAACCTATGAATTTTGGACAATCGTTAAATTTGCAACTCGTTAGAATAACATGTCTTACAGTAGTAGGGCGCAGTCACCCAGTTTCGGTGGAAGTGCGCGAGCTCAATTGGGAATAAAGGAGGAACGGAGCATATCAGCTTCCTCGGACCAAGACCATTCGACCCAGCACCCCGAAGACAACTGATGAAAATTCGATTTGTTTTTTGCCCGTTTCGGGAACTCTTTTTTGGCCTTCTCCCCCTTACCAAGAGTGCATAAACAAGAGTACGCAACTGTGGTCATGGGTCAGTGCGCGGTGCGCTGCCTTCATTACGTAACTTGCCTTCATCACGCTCTGAAAGCATGCATTCAAACTCACAATTTCTCGTACGAGCCCATCCGTTTTTGCTCGATTCGTTCCAGTACCTACGCGATCTCTAAATTCTGGCGCGTGAACTCCAGTTCCGTACGAAAGTTCATTTCAAACCAGAGGGAATGTGCGGTGTTTGATTTTCCGCAGTGCGCGGACTGCAGCTGAATGGTGTAGTGAAGGCAGCGCGCCGCGCATCTGGCCCATAGAAAAGAGACCACAGTTGCATACTCTTGTTTAGGCCACACGTTTTTATTTCTATGTTTCTCGTCACCCGCGCGCATACGATTCAGGAGTCTGGAAGAAAAAAAGAAAAGAAACTGTGCTGCACTGACTGTGCATGTGGTGACCAGCACACTCATGCACATGTACATAATGTGGCCTGGCCTGCGCGACACATGATCTGTCCCCGGGGAAAATTGCGGGAAAAAATCGCAAAAAACGCGGGGGAAAACGCGGCATAATATGGCATAATTTGCGGTAAATATGCGGTGAATAATATTGATGTGCGGCAATTTTCAGTGAGTATGTAGTGAAATCAATCAGTTACAAGTCTCTGGTGTAAGCACTCGTCATATTTGAGTAAAAAGCCGCCACGATGAGACGTTGCTGACCGAACAGTGCACTGTGTGTACGTGTTGTGCAACAAAAAGTTCAAAAAACGCGGGGAAAATCGCGGAAAACGTGGTCTTTTAAAAAATTGCAAAAAACGCGGAAAAAAACGCGGCCGCGGAATCACAATTTTCCCCGGGGACAGCATGATGCAAGGACGGCATTTTTTGTGCGCAATCTAGCTGCACATGCACAGATTGTGACAGAAGCTCCTACCACATACTAGTTGCTAACTATGGATGCTATTTTGCATGGTGTATTGGTGGATTTTAGTGTGAACAAAGGTCTAATAAACCTTTTATTTTTCGGTCATTTTTTATTTTTACCACCGCATACGTTTTTAGATTTTCAGGTGACGAGAAACATAGAAATAAAAACGTGTGGCGTTATGGACTCTTGCTCTTACATGTATTAAAATGTATTATTTACCTTGTCCAAATGTGTAAAGCCCAGACTTCAAGCCTTGTTCCTTGGCCGCAGGCCAGGTTTCCCGGGTGTAATGCGTCTCCGTATAACTGATTCCACCATCCTCCATGAGCAGGCGAATGTGTTCACCGCGGCCCCGACCAGCGAAATAGTGGAAGGTCACATTACCAATGCTCTCTAGAGGTAGACATCCAGGTTTGCCTGTAGCAATGTGGCGAACTGATTGCACCATGTGAGGGTTCGTGGTGTGAAAGTATGCGGCGACACCCAGGAGGCCAACAAACAGTACCGGAAGAAGATCCATCGTAACCGTTATTGATTATTTTCAATTACCTACAAACAATACATTCATACACCGGCTGAAGTAAGTAACTAATAACTTTATACCAAGAGTAGATAAACAAGAGTGTGCAACTCCGGATCTCTCCTGCACAATCTGCAGATACCCCGCGCCCACGGCGGAATTTTTTGTTTACGTCACCTTTTTTCAGAGAAACGCGGCTTTGCCGCAGAGCAGTGTGAGAGCACGTGCTGGGCACCGACCTTGTAGTGTAAAGCCCCGCCAAGTGCACGAGGGAAAACTCTCCAAAAGGCTCGCAGCGCGTGCGTCGTCGAAAAGATTACGTCAACAAAAAATTCCGCCGTGGGCCAATCCATCCGGAGTTGCACACTCTTGTTTATCTACTCTTGTTTATACTCATTAATTTATAGTTAGTTTTTGACTTTTTATTTTGTAGAAGTACGAAATCTGAATTATTTGGTCATCATGGAAGCTCCTCGATCTCGAAACCAGCAGCTAGCTGCACCGGCGCGGCGCTTATGCACGGAATCGGATCGGGGAATTCCCGGAAGCGCGCTAGCGCTCCGTATATATGCGTATGTGGCCATGCACAATGCACATGCACACACGACACGTGACGTGCAGCATGCTAGTTAGCGCTATAATTATAGCGCGCGGGTGCGCTAGGCCATGGCCATGGGGCCATGCCGGCCGGCCATATGGGCGTACTCGTACCCGTGCGATTTTTGTTGTTTGAAAGCAGAATATTAAATTTTTTGCTTTTTGTTGTGATCTGACGTCATCACGTGACGTGCACCAGCGATTTTTCAAAAACTTTTTCGCGCGCGATCGAGCATGCATGCAGTCTCGCGCAGCTCGGAGCCTCGGATCCCGCCGCGCCGCGCCTACAAAAAAGTATGATCTCGTCTCGTGCTTTAGCGCGCGCTTGTTGATGATCTACGACAGCGCTAGCTAGCTAGCTGTGAAGTGTGAGTGAGAGATTGCTACCGTAGTTGGCAACACGGCCGCGACGACATGTCGAGCGTGCAGCTGCATGTCACACAGCTACAGATCAGAGTCAGTCATTTGTCTCTCAATCAGCAGCATGATTGTAACTTTTTGTTGTGAGTCTTTTCTACAACTCAGTACAAGTGAAAATGGCTCAAGCCTGACCGACAGCCATTCTTGTAGGTCAAGGAGGAAGCTTACAACCAGTGGATAACTGTTGTTGTAAGCTGTCTTTTTGTTGTGAGTCCTGCGTCAGTTCTTGAAAATGTTCGGAGTTCTTTCCCATTGAGAGTACCGTACCAGTACAAGACACTATCCATTGAAAAAGATTATTGCATGCTGGTGTTCATCGAGGACAATGGTTTTGGATCAACGTTATCCAGCTGCACTTCGGCGCAATGAAAGTATCTTGGGGCAGGAACCGCCTCCGGAGCAGCTTATAGCCGTCCCTATTTCAGAAACGGAGTCTGAGCCCGAGGAAGCGCAGCCAACCACGCAGCGAGGACGCTGCCGCAGACGCCAGCAAATTCTCAGCAGAAAAGCCAGGCCTGAGTCGTTTATCGATTCTCGCTCGGAGAAAGCGAAACGAAGCTATCGCTTTGCTCGTCGGGTTGCCAACTCCCGGGAAGTCGCAGCACTGCATCCCATTGATGAGGAACTCTCAGTGGAAGACATTTGCCCTGCCTACAATGGGCTATTTGGAGAATTATTTGCAAATGCTAAATCGACTGCCAAATGGCATTCATTCACCGCCATGCCAGAGGCAGATCAGCTAAAAGTATTATCCGTTGCCCACAGCGGACCACACAAGGTGGCTCCTGGAATTGATTCTCGAGCACGCTTCCGGAAGACGAGTCGCAAGTTCCGTGACGCGCTGCGTCACAATCGTCGATTCGCAATGCCGCTTGTGTCCGACATCGAGGACCTGGTGCGTTTTGCACTCACCTCTGATAGCGTGCTTGTGCTGAAGCTGGAGTCCAGCTTCCACCGCCTCATGGCGTATGGTGTTGTGGAGTATTTGGGCGGCGAGTGGACAGCGTCTGATGTGAATGGTGAACGGGTCATCATGGTTACTTGCAGGCGTGACCTTTGTCTCCCCGAGAAATGTCTTGCTGACGTATGAGATTTTGGGAAGAACTTGATTAATAAAGAAAGGCCAGACTAAAGGTACTTTAAACGTCTTCTCTTTTTTTAGACGTGTTTTTTATAGCACTACTGGCCACTGTTTCCGGGCTGCTCTACTAATATCATAGATCAGCCTGGCCTGTGATCACGGGTATTGTATTTTGTGAAGATGTAGAATAAGTTGTATGTCTGCATGTCGTGTCTGAGTTCTTATTTCTCTTATCCTGTGTGCCTTACAGTTGTTCTTTCGTCAGTTGTGCTTGCTGTGTGGATCCTTGTCTTGTCTTATCCTGCTACATCGATCCAAATGTCATGTTTTCTTTGTTCCATCAGTATCCATAATAATATTCACACCGTATGTCGTTTGTAGTTATTTTCAAAATCTTTTAGTTCTGTAGGATTTCGTTCGAGTAGGTAGTTCTGCCCTGGGAAAAGGAGGTTGAACAGAATGGTTAAAAAAAATGTGGTATTTATCAGCTCAAGTATGTTGTCTTGCATTATCTGTAGGTTATCTGCCTGTTGTTTTTTTGCCTGCTATTAGCAGATGCACTTCCTGTTATTTTTTTGTCTCGTTATCATACTGTCGCTCTGTTTTCCTACTGTTCGGTACTATTTTCAAAGCAAGAAACAAGAAATTAACCTGTCTCTCTGTGTAGCAACATTCAGACGTAGACAGTTCTGAAGAAATGTACAATCATGTACTTCGAAGTAACCCTGGGTCGAGGTTGCTGCCGAACTGCGAACTGTACTACAGTACGAGTCCTCGTACCATTGCATGCCACAGTGGGTACGCTGGAAATAAAATCACCACAAACTGACTATGGGGAAAAATCGGTGAAACCATTTGAAATCAGATTTCAAATAATTAAAGGGGAAGTTAAGGCAAAAATTAAAATTTCACCAGTTGTAGTCTTTGGGGTGCTGGGTCGAATGGTCGTGGTCCGAGGAAGCTGAGACGCTCCCTTCCTACTTGAATCCCAATCGAACTCGCGCACTTCCACCGAAACTGGGTGACTGCGCCCTACTAGATGGGGATTTGTATGCAAAATGTCACTAAAAGCGCCATTTCGTTCTTATAAAAGCACGGATGACCGCGATTGGCCCATACTAGGTATGTTGTAGTCTTTTGGACGCTGAGTCGACTGGTTTTGGTCCGAAAAGGCTGCGATGCAGCGTTCCTCCTTTATTCCCAATCGAACATGGTTGAACAAGCGGTCACGTGCTCCTGGGTGCCCAAATCACCTGATCACCACGCCAGCAGGCGACAACTTTCACACCAAGGTTCAACTCGAGTGACAGGACTGCACCCAAAAAAGGTCAAACAAGCTAGTAAGTTGTACCCTGCAGGCACAGTGACCAGGTGACTGGCGTACGCAGGAGCACGTGACCGCTTCTTCAACCATGTTCGATTGGGAATAAAGGAGGAACGCTGCATCGCAGCCTTTTCGGACCAAAACCAGTCGACTCAGCGTCCAAAAGACTACAACATATGGGCCAATCGCGGTCATCCATGCTTTTATAAGAACGAAATGGCGCTTTTAGTGACATTTTGCATACAAATCCCCATCTAGTAGGGCGCAGTCACCCAGTTTCGGTGGAAGTGCGCGAGTTCGATTGGGATTCAAGTAGGAAGGGAGCGTCTCAGCTTCCTCGGACCACGACCATTCGACTCAGCAGCCCGAAGACTACAACTGGTGAAATTTTGATTTTTGCTTTAACTTCCCCTTAAGGCCGCAACCACACTACGTAAAAATCACAGTACAAATTTTCATGCATATCTCAGTACAAGTCGGAACGCAAACACACTACACTTTTCGGTCTGCATAGATGACGTTTTCACGCGACCAGCAGGTGACGTTGTCGTACCAAAGCGTGTGCCATGCGCTGGAAAAGACCGGGAAATTCAAAAACAATGCTGATGCTGATGCTATGTACGACGACCAGGTACAAAAACAAAGTTGTACACAGGAGATGGAGCGCGAAAACGACGAAAACGACAAACGTGGCTTTCTACAGGGGTGCGCCAGTTGCTGAAAACCTACAAAGCGCATTTTGCATTTCGCACGCGTCGGCATGACGATTTCTACTGTAATGTCGTTTGTACGTGATTTTGTACCTAGTGTGGTTGCAGCCTAAGTTACATGTAATTCTAACGGGGGGGGGGGGGGGGGCGGGGGTGCCCAAAGTCAACGCTACGTATTCTGTTCAGTCATCGGTTTCACATAACTCAGTAACCATGGTAACAGGCAAACTGTATAAAGATGAGCACAACTTTTGCAGCATGTCCCTCGGATCGCGGACTCGACTATATTTGTACGCAGATGGTGAGCCTTTTGAATAATAGTTACATGTATGATGAAGAAAGCAAAAGAACAAAATGTTACGAGTTATGACAAACTGTCCACCAACGTAACCAGATCTTATACAGTCATTCTGCACAGGCATTCTTTGTTGCCGTGATGCGTAGCTCGTGCCCTTCTTCGTTGCGCTTTCCTTCCCCTCTTGGACCTTTCCGAACCTGAGCCTTCCAAGATAGAAGGTTGTTGGTTTGCGCCTTGGAGAAGTGTTGGAGCTAGGTGTCAGGTTGCCGAATGTCTCAGTACTCCTTGTCAGTTTTGTGCCATTTTGTCGCACTCGCTGACTGTATAAGATCTGGTTACGTTGGTGGACAGTTTGTCATGACTCGTAACATTTTGTCCTTTTCCTTTCTTCATCATAACGTTTTAACAGATGACATTTCTTCGTAATAAGATCCATGGCTTCATACATGTACATGTAGATGTTGTGTTTGGATATTGCGGAATACTGCAGGATCGTTAACATATCTTCGGAGATCTCGTTAACCTATGCATTTTGGACAATCGTTAAATTTGCGACTCGTTATAATAACATGTCTTACAGTACATGTATATCAAAACATGTTTTAAATCCTGTACCGATATGTACATGATGTATGTAAGTATACATTGCATGATTGTACAATTATAATCCGGAAATCACCAAATCTCAGTATGCAAAGCATTGCAAAACATGTTTGAAGTTGAAGACACCACACCACTGCAGCTGTACTTATGGTTGATAAATATGGTGGTAAAGACACACCTGGCAATATGGCGGTAAATACACGCCAGCCCACAAACGCTCTCAAGGCTGCATACCACCATATTATCAACTATATGCAAACATGTTTGTAATCAATGCTACCGTATTCTCCGGAGTATAGTGGGCACTTTAGATGTGCTAGTTTAGGCCCTAAATCGCAGGTGCGCACTATGCTCCGAATATGAAATGCATGTACTTCAATGAAGATTGAAGTGTGCACCCCCAAGATTGGGGGTGCGCGGTATACAAAGGTGCGCACTATACTCCGGAAAGTACGGTCCTTAGCGTGCCGCAAAACAAAGACAGTCGGGGTACTGGTACGGCGAGGGAGACCAAAAACCTTTTTCATGCTGATACGACTGGATTGGATGAGGGATAAATATAACGAGAGAGCTTGGAAGCTCAGGGCCCTGCGCTATGCTTTGTTGCCTAGCTCATCGTGCATGTTGTTAGAACTGATGGAAATGCTTTTTCCTTTGATTAGCTACATCATTGTATTGCAAAAACGTTTCAATGAGATACTGAAGTACAAGTAACGCCTTCTGCATAGCTATGGGACCGGCGCTGACTCTGCCGATCACGGGCGTTCTGGAGTCGACGGGATGTCTGTCCTGACGTTTCTTGGGACCGGCGCTGACTCTGCCGATCACGGGCGTTCTTCTTCTTCTTATTATTATACTGACGGCAACTAACATCCATTCTGATTGCATTTACTCGTCTCCCTACTTCGTATTTTTTTCAGAAAATCTCCCCATACAGCAGGGAGTCGTTTACATAATATGACTCCCTGCTGTATGGGGAGATTTTCTGATTGCATTCACTCGTCTCCCTACTTCGTATTTTTTTTCAGAAAATCTCCCCATACAGCTGGGAGTCGTTTACATAATATGACTCCCTGCTATGGTCCTACATGACTGTATATACGTTATGATTACTCAATCTGGTACGTTATAATTATTATGCTATCAGCCTACATGCGATCCCCGGGCTGGTCGACAGGCGGACCAGCCAGCCTGCTAGTGGGTTCTCGGCCTCGCACACAAATCCACACAAAATGTTACTGCACTGAATGCATTCCCCCGATACACTTTACATATAATTATACTCATTCTCTTGATGGTACCGTGCTCTTGATGGTACGGGACAGGTAGGGGATAGCGCCAGGCATGTCGATGGCACAAACAAACAAACATATAGTAGCCAGCTGTCTTTGCTGGTACGGTACAGTACGGTACAGATACGGGATAGCGCCAGGCGTGACACAAACAAACAAACAAACAAACAAACACCAAATTAAAGCTGTGTGGACCCTGGCTAGCGCCAGACGTTACTGAAGTAACGTCTTCTGCATAGCTACGGGAATAAAATATTCGCTTAGTTGTGTGATCTACTGTACGGCGACAGCGGCGGAATGCTCCTATCTTCTTATTAACAGATATACATGTACATACATGTACATGGTTCATTAGGTTGACTTGATCCTCAAAGGTGAGGTGTTGGTCAATGATAAGGCCAAGATAACGCGCTGTGTCAGAAGGTCGAATATCGACACCACTGCATCGGGTAAGATCCGGCGGAAGAGGCAGAGCCTTTTTTCCGAAGCACAATGAACTTCGTTTTCTGGGCATTCAAGATGAGACCAATGCTTCGAAGATACGTATTTAGTCTGTTCAAGTAATTTGTCAACTTGTGCTGGAGTTCTCCAGTAGACTTACAATGCACATAAAATGCTAGATCGTCAGCATATTGTTGGGACTCTGCGTGGCGAAGTATTCCAGGAACATGTCGCAAATATTAAACTGAGAATAATTGAGGCCCTAGCACCGACCCTTGTGGAACGCCTCGTGTACAACGTGTCTCGTCTCCTCGGTTAATTCCAATTTTCACCTGTTGTCGGCGACCCTGGAAATAGCTCGCGAACCATTGGAGCGCTACTAGTTCATGGCGTGATTTTGAAGGAACCGAATCATTCAGTCACGCTTTTTTTCTTCAAAAATGGAGGCGGGAGGCCAAAACCGAGCTGCAGTCTCTACTGCATTTGCCTTCAAGCTTGAAGATGACTGGCCAAGCCAGCACATGTTCTATATAGACAACCTCATGAGCAGCGGAATTGCGGTCTCTGACATCCTGCAGATCGACCTCCACGGCCGTCGTGGATTTTGTTCAGTAACTGTCTCGAGCCTGGCGGTCCGGGATCGTGTGCTTTCCCAAGGCATCTCTGTTGCTGGTAAGCCCGTTCAATTAACTATCAGTGGCGCTGACGTTGTCAGCGTCCATGTATTTGGATGCCCCCATTCCCTGTCGGATAGTGCTGTCGCAACCTCATTCCTGAAATTTGGCTCAGTGATAGGGGTCCCTCAGCGAGGAAAATTCTGGGTTGAGAACTTCGAAATTGAAACCGGCACCAGGTACGTCACCATTCTACCGCGTACAGTCGTACCTTCGTGTGTAGCAGTCGGCCAGCTTAAACTGCGTACATGGCACAAAGGCCAGGCTAAAACATGCTGGCACTGCAACAAGCCAAGTCATGAGGCAAGGGACTGCCCCGTACTGAGTACGAAGGGAAAGAAGCGTGGCTGGGAGAAAACTTCCAGTCCGGAAATTGGTCTCAGTGAC